ATAAAATCTGATGAATTTGAACTCACTTGCTAAGGATACCTAGAGATGCTAAGTAGGTGTCAAGTCCTTCTAAGGAGACTTTGCTGTTGATGTCGTTTAGTCGACCAATGAAGGCTTCCATTAGCTGTAGGAAAAAGATGTTCAATGCTGTTTCCTTTGATTAATAGCAATCATTTTACCTTTGTATCACTAGCGATGGCTTTAGGGGCAGTTATGGTCATTTCTAGGAACCGTTTTAGTCCGCCAATACGCCTTTCCCAGCTAAAAAAATAAGTTAACCTGCTCAGTCAGATCACCATTGGGATTTTTAGAAAAGTGAGTGCCCTACTTACCCTGCCGCAGTAAGATCAGCTTTGATCTCATCGAGGTCAAGCTGAACATTGTCGGGTAATTTTCTCTGTACAGCTTTTCGTATGCTTCCACTGCGGGATAACGAAGCACCCAAAGAAACACTTGTGCTGTCTAAAGAATCGATGCCACCCTATAACGATTACTTATTCAAAAACTATGAAATCAAAAGGGATCAGGTTCGAGATAAGATTTAAAATTTGCACTGTGCTCGTTAAAGAAGTAATCAACATGGAATAAAAAGCAAACCTTACCTTTCTATCAATATCGCCTAGAATCTCTTTCACGGCCTTGTATTCGGATTCGCTGATACTTTTCTTCATCTGCCTATCAAAGTTCGGATCCTGAAAACTTTTCATGTACTAACTGCTATGATTGTCAGCGACAGAAATGGCATAAGATGAGAAATTGTTAAGCCCCCATGAAGGATGTACTTAATCCAAAAGTGCTAATTATGTCTAGGGCTGAATGAACAGCACATCTTAAATTTTAAAAAAATACTGAGCTCGTATGATGCTTACCTGACTCAAGCTCAGAAGCGTTTGCTTCCCATGCATTCGCACTTGTGGATTCGCATCTTTTGAAAATGCGATTAGGTGAGGGACGATCTTTGACAGTTGGTCAGGGGTATTAAGTAGCGCCGATACACCCATTCGTGACACCAAAGTGCCAACAAAACCAGCGCAAGACGCTCGGATAGTGTTGTTCTTAGACCTGAAAACTTGCTTATAAAGAGGTACCAACCACT